GTACAGTCACCAATTCTGCTTATTCTCATATTAGTCAAGATACTGACGGTAGAATCTCTATACAGTTTGATGATAAAAGTGTGCCTTATAATAGACACTCTTTTGCTTCCGATAGACATCCATTTTCAGGGAGTTCCATTACCCTACTTAGATAAGTATCTTTATACCACCGAACCCCTTTGGATAACTAGAGGCAGAGGCAGAGGAAGATCATCCGTTTGCTACTGCAAGTGTGCCGGACTTTGGCCTAAGATTGTAAGTTCTACTGCAAGTGTGCCGGACTTTGGCCGGAAAATAAAAGTTCCCTGTTTGTTTAAGGTAACTAAACTCATTCCTCCTCTTTGTATAATAGGAGTGCTGGATGATGAAGAAGATCCGTACAACTTGAAATCTTTAGTATGAATATTTCAGATACTTTGAAAACTACTAAAGTACAGGAGAAGATTAAATTAATCTCTGAACAGATGGCCATTGATATTTGTGCTGATCACCCTAGTGCTTTCTGGAATCGGAAAAAGCACATCGTAACTCTTCTGTACGAAGATGATTTCTCTGAGGAATGCTTCTTACAAAATAAAATGCCCTTATTTTGTAAATGCTATTAAAAAGTTCCCTGTTTGTTTAAGGTATTCTCTTTTTTCATACTATTCTACTATTACTCCTATACAAGCCGATGATCGGCTAAAGTTTTATATCTATGCCGGATAACTAACTTCAATTATATATCTACCATGAAAGATCTACGCTTTATCTAAATATGCATAAATTCTTATAACTTTCTTGACTTGGTTCCGAGATGGTGGTACAGTCAAAATCAATACAACAAGTTAATGGCTTTGTCTTAGTGACTCCGTCTAGTCAGCCGTGGTCTTAGCCCGCAAAAGAAGTTAAAAGGGCGCTTCATACCCGGTTAGTAACTACTAGACACATGGGCTCATTAACAATACGTATTTGATTTTAGATAGACCCTTTGCTTGGGTAAAAGATTCACACATGGGCTCATTAACAATACGTATTTGATTTTAGACAGACCCTTTGCTTGGGTAAAAGATTCGTTTCTTCCATACAGTCATTAAAATTATATGAATTTAAATATATTTCTTTTCGAATTATTTTCGGATGTTGACAAGCTAGATCAAAGATGACCGCGCGGACTACCGCCCGTCTTCAGAGATCCTGTTTAGTTGGTATCAATTTAATATATACTACTTTCATCCCGAATTAATAGTATTTTATTTTTTTCTAATTTTCGTCAATAATATAATTTGATTTTATTATTAATTTTCACTATAAAGAATAAACAAAATTAAATGATAAGACGAAAAATTTAATTTTAAAATACAATACATAATATGATAATTTAAATACAAGATAACAATCAATACATAACATAATAATTTAAATACAAGATAAAATATAACACAAAACATAATAATTAATTTGTGATGAAACAAGAATCATGCCAAAAAGATGCTGAACGTGCATTCAGAGTTTTGCAATCACGTTTTGCAATTATTGCAGGACCGTCACGTTTTTGGAGAAAGAAAGTGCTACATGATATAATGACTACATGCATTATACTGCACAACATGATAATTGAGGATGAGCGTGATTTTAATGCACCAATTCAAGATGCCATAGAGGCTCCGACAACAGAAATGGTGGTAGATAAAAATCTCCGATTTGAACAATTTTTAGCTAGACATAAAAAAATTAAGGACAAAAATGTTCATTTTCAATTCCGTAATGCATTAATAGAATATTTATGGGAGCAACGTAATAATTTCAAAAATTGAGTGTTTATGTAATTGTATTTCACTTTTATTTGCATTTGTCAATTAATTTGTATATTATATAATATTTTCTTGCAATTTATGTTATTTTAAAATTTAGAATAAAATATAATTTTATATTAAATAAAAAATTTGAAAAAATGAAATTTTATATCACATGAAAATTGTATAAAGTAATTATTGGGGAAAAAAATTGATTTATATTATGAAATAAGAAAATAAGAATGAAATAGAAATAATAATATAATATTGAAGAGAGAGAAAAAGATTCTTTTCTAAAGAGTAAAATAGAGAATTGGGTTGGAGTTGGTTGTCTAAAAAAATAGAGAGCTTTATATTTGGAGGGACAGAGGGATAATTTTACAAGCAAATGTGAACTCTTTAAAAAAGAATCAATAGCAAAGGTAATATGGGAAAATTTAATGACTATTTTCTTAACTTAGTAATGTGGACAACGGATAATTATTTTTAGGAAGATAATGAACTAATATGATATGTGGAGTAATGTTGACCTTTTGGTATAGTGTGTCAATTTGGGGAAGAGTTAGTTATGTAAAAGCACCAAGTCAGGAAAGCCGTTATTCATTTGGATAACACCGCAATTTTTTTCATCTTTCCCTTTTCTCTTTGTGATCACCATTTTCGCCGCATTCTGTTAAATTAGCAAGGTCTGATTCCATTTCTTTGTCAATACAACTGAAATATTGAATTAATATTCGATATGCTCTTATTACAATGATAGATTATTTTGGGTTAAAATTTCAATCTTGTTCTGTTTCTGGGCATGAGTCATTTAATTACTTATAATCGCATTGCGAATGAACATATCGCTCTTTATCATCAATCAATATACACTCTTGATAGAAATGAAAATGAAGCAAATGGTCAATACTGGTGGTTTTGTGAATGAAATTTACCCTCTTTTTTTTATCCCTGAAAACGGTTTCCCCCTTCCTGAGAGGTGATCATTTTGTATCATAAAAAGAATTAGGCAATCTTGAAATTATTTTGATTGATTACAAAGACCGATTTCTCAATTTATTGGGCATATATTAGTAAAATCTATGAATGAGTTTTATGCAACATTGAAGAAGCTTGACTTTTGATTTCTTACTTGTAGGGCACTGTTGTAGTTCTTCCACTGGGGTTCACTTGCCCACCCCCTCATGGGGCAGTGCTGGACTAAGGTAATCTATCAAAATAACTCTGAGTTCTATGCTTGTGTTTGTCTGTCTTGACTTCTAAATCTAATTTACATATTCAACACTCTTTTGAGAAACACAATATTATCCATCCATCGAACAAGTACACATGCAGCTCTTTGCTCGACAACTCTTCACTTGCATTTACACCTACTTGATACATATAATGTAGGACAATACAAGACTTTTATGGAATTGTATCTTTAGATTTGCAATTTGTCGGAAGAGGTAGGGGGCTAGTACTAGTATTATTTAGTAGTCTCTTAATTTCCAATGTGTATTTCAATCTGTTGTTGTATTTGCTTTTTTATCTTGCTATGTTGCCTTCATATTTATTCTTGCAATCCTGCTTTGGAATACACTGCTTCAGGTCTATTGTAAACAACCTCTCTACCCCACAAAGGTAGGGGTAAGGTTGGTGTACATATCCATCTCTGTTGTTCCTTTTGGTGTTTCATCCCCTTTTTCTTCCTTTCTGCCTTGGCATTGGGGGAGGAGGTCAAACCCTTTCCCATTCTCCCCTGCTTTTCTTGGTTGTATTCATGAGAACGGTAAGTAGGAAAACTGTCTTTCTGTTGATGACTCAGAATCGGTTACTTAGATTTGTGATTCTTGCAGGTATGTAGTCAAGAAAACAATGATGTCCCTCCCACTTTTGATCTTGCTGGTGGAAACATTTGCCTTGTGACATCAATGGACAAGTGGGAACAAAAGATGTCTGAAGCCAATGACAGTGGCAAGATCGTAAGTTTCTTTGCAATTGCCATAGCAGCACAAATTAATGTTGGTACCAAAATTTCAGTTTCATGATCCAACATCATGTTTCATCTGCATATTTTCTTGACTCAAGTATAAGTTAAACACAAAAACCTGCAACCTTTTTTTCCTTTTTATTGGTTAGTAGTGCATTTTTGTTGTGAATATCTTTCTCTCGTCAAATAAGTAAACACTTTACCTACTTCTTTTGTCTTCCAACAGGCGGTGGTAAATTTCAGTGCGTCATGGTGTAACCCATGTAGAGCAGCAGCACCAGGATATCATGAACTTGCTGATAAATACACTTCAATGATATTTCTAACCGTGGACGTGGATGAGTTAGCTGTAAGTTTCCTGTGCTTTGTACTCATTGTCTTTTATTTGCATCAACTCAGTTTATAGCAGCCATAGTTACGATACCCCTACTATGCTGATAAAGTTTTGCACTTGTTCTGCTAACATGCTAGAAGAAACCATCTCCTCTAAACTCGTACACATTGGTAAATGTTAAAACTATTGGTCATGGCTTGATGCAGGAGTTGAGTACTTCGTGGGACATAAAAGCTACTCCAACATTCATTTTCTTTAGAGATGGCCGTCAAGTGGACAAACTAGTAGGTGTCAAAAAGCAAGAGCTCCAACAGAAGTTGATGAATCTCGCAGAGTCTACAAGGTCTCCAGGATGATAATACTGCAGTGTCCGAAAATGCTATTCTAAAACTCTGGTTTTGTCACGTTAATTTTGCCATTTACTGCTGCTGCAACAATATTCTTACGTGTTTCTATGCATATTAAGCCAAGTAAGGAAGTAAAATTTGCAGCTTGGAAAAGAATTTCATATGGTGCTACACCTTCTGTGTTAGATGTTAACCCAAACACGAGGAAGTAAATGGAGATGAACAGTTACTGTATTAACTACTTATTATCAATGTATAGTTTATTCTCCACTCTCTAGTACTTGAAGAAATCTGAAATATGTAATAGAATCCCAATAACAATGTATAAAATTTCGACAGTATGATCCCCCTACAAAAACATGCTCAAATACAGCTTCTACAGTGGTACAAAATGTTGTATCAGGAGGAGAAGACAAAGGATTTGATGTCTCAACAAAGATTGACCCAAGCCAGTAGTTATGAAGTGGCCAATCGAATTCGGATTCTCAATGGCCAATGACTAAGATACAGGATGATGAAGTAATATGGGACTGACTTCAACAAGCATGTTCAATGGACTAGACCAAACTATATGAGATAATGTTTTCTGATATAACTCATTTGTACAAGTCACAATATAGACACTTCTTACTGAATACTTCCTCGTGTAGCGGAAAGGTAGATGACAAACATAGAGTTGTAAGCCCTTGGTAGGGTTCTTGTACAAGCAAGTATTTCCAACATAGTTATATATATACATCATAGAACATTCCCTATAGCCTAGAATGAACTATAAGTGACTCAAGAAGTAAATAGCAGGGAATTAGAAAAACCTCCTATGCCTCGGAAACCATGGTAGGGTTAAGAGTGAGAAAGCACACGTGATGGTTAATTATTCTGCTGGCCGCACATAACTGAAACCCTTGAAGGGGTTATCACCAGATTTTGGACTAGCAGCAGGAGAATCTAGCAAAGGCATGCTGGTCCATTGCTCTTCAAAATTGGCAATACACAGCTTCCCTGAAACTTGGGGACAGAAACTTGGTTGAATTTCTCGAGCATCTAACTTCTTCCAATAGATAGACTTGAACCATTTGTGACTTTTTATCTCATCACTACCTATTGATCCACAGCCAAGGCGCTTGCTTGCATCCTTGTGTAGCAGCTGAAGAAATACAAACACATAAGATAGATAAGAATCCTCTAGTTTCCAATTTCCAAGTTCTTAATATCGGTGACTATATGAGAAATGGAATTTAGCCTGGTAGATGGTATTTACACATTAGTTGATACATAACACTATCTACTAAGCAGTAGGCCCTTCCAAATTATCTTAGCTTTGTATCCCCAAGTAGCATATACAGAAGTGAGTCATAGCACAGCTCAGACAAGGTTTGGTTTTTACTGGTAATATGAAATATGATCCTACTTCTTAGTAGAATTAATTACTCCATATATGGCATAAAAGTAGCATATAATAACATAAATAAGTGATATGTGATCTGAAGCATTTAAATGGACCATCAAGACATGAAGTGCCTGCTATATTAAGATTTATCAGTTAGTCGGTAACCACTATCATAGCATAGAAGGAAATGTAGCTTACCCCTTTCAACAATGAATGTGCATCACTAGACAAAAATGCTGGCAGCTTAATCTTGTCCTTTATGATCTTTTGTTGAACTTTCTGTCGGTTCCCAACAAATGGAGGCTGAAAAAATCCACATGAGGAAAAGATTCGGTTAATGAAATACAGCTTATGTAAAGTAAGCATATGAAGGATGCCATGTTAAGTGATAAATATAAATTCTTAAGGAACTCATAGAAGAAGAAGTTATGGCAGACGATTGCATGTGTACAATAGCATAGACAACAAAGTTACATGATATGTGTAGACCAAGTGTAAAGAGAGCCAATGATTTCCCTAACTTTTAACATACTGATAATTAAAGCTTTATATTTTTTTTACTACTGCTGCAACCGACTGAAGGAATTCAAAGTTCAGGGCAACTTATTAAACAAAATAACAAACCTTTCCTGTCAGCATCTCATACAATAGAACTCCCACGCTCCACCAGTCTGCAGCCTTATCATGACCTTTTCCAAGAACAATTTCAGGTGCCATATATTCGATAGTTCCACACAAAGAGTTGGATCTTGTGTTCTCATCAAATTGCTTAGCAAGGCCAAAATCAGTCAGCACTACCTGCAGCAACCATAATACAAATTCAAAAGGTCAATGGAGGACCACAGCAAATGATTCCAAATCCTGTGAAACCGAACAACAAAGTTTCTTTCAGTTATCCACTAATAGAACTAAAAACTAGTCCATGGTCTTTCCATGAGAATCAAAAGATATTAACTAAAAACCATCGGAAAGAAGGGTTGTGGAGAAGGGATATCTTACATGCCCATCAGCATCCAAAAGAATATTTTCTGGTTTGAGATCCCTGTGCATTACGCCATTAGAATGTAGGTGAGAAACAGCAGAAACAACCTCAGCAGTGTAGATGCGGGCCAAATCCTCCCTGAAAAGAAGTAAGTTAGCTAGTTGCTTGAACCACAATAGTCCTAGATTTTTCAGAAGGGTTATTTTTGTTGAAGTGTGTGACTATCACATCTAAAAGCTTAAGCATTTAGAGAGAGCACTCTTTCATTATTTAATTATATTCTCAACAATTTTATCATGCTACCTGAATAAGCCCTGCCTATGGAGTTGAAAGAAAAGGTGTCCCCCATTAACAAAGTCAAGAACAAGGTATAGTCTGTATTTGGTCTGCATTAAGAGGAAATAAACAAAAAGAAATCAATAACACTTGGAAGTGTCATATAATGTAAACTAATCGGATACATATTAAGGAAACAAATGGTGTAGTTCACAGCTGAGAACCAAGTTTGAGGTTTTAAATTCCTCCTCGTAGCGGGCTGGAGTTGCATAAAATGTATGCAAGTCCAAACAGCTTTTGTAAAGAGAGCAATTTATATAAAATTGTAGCAAAGCATCACCTGGAAAGAGTATCTGAGTTGCACAACAAATGGATGATCTATTTTTGTCAATACATCCCTCTCTGTTTTCATATACTCAGCGTGATCTTTCTCCAAAATCTTATCTTTCCGCATAACCTTCATCGCAAGAATTTCAGAAGTCCCAATCTTCCTCACCTGATATACTTTTCCAAATGCACCTTGTCCAACAACCTTTAAGACTTCGAAATCGTTAAGTCCCACAGACCTTGGGGTATTAGCATCAGCATGAACATCACTTTTATTAGTAACAGCAGAATCGGAAGTAGCTTCTTCAAGATGATCATTGGTCTCTCCACTATCACCCTCCACAAGCTCTAACAAGTGTTCATTCTCACGGAGTGTGAGTTTGCTAAGCTTCAATGATTGACAGACATAGTTTGTCGGACCAACAAAGGAATGAGAACGGCTATAAATTACAGCTGGCTCGTCATATATAAATCCATTTGTTTCTGACATTGCAACATTCTCAGAGCTCAAAACTTGAGCTGGAGCAGGACCAAATATGTCTGAGAAATCCATATCAACATCATCCAGTGAAGCGACTTTGGGGTGTTGCAATGGGAGCAGCACGTGGTTGTGGAAAGGCTGCCCAGTTGGTTGTGAAATTTTAGCAGAAACCATTTTACCAGTTGAGTTACACAATGAGGGAGGGAATACAGTAGATCAACCCCAACTTCTGCACGGCTATGGGAGAACTACCCTTGAAGGTCGCCTCACGATAGCCTTGAAAAGAAGGAAACTCTCAAATGCAACAAGTGTCCCGAAAAATTGGTGGAAGAGGATGACCAGAATCCAGAAAAGAGAGCTGTTCTCGTTTCCCGCTTTACAGGAAAGAGTGGCTGCAGCAGTGCTTCTCGAATTCATGAAGAACATGCAAACCAGGCGGTGTTTATTAAACCAAATACCCCTGGAAGGTTAGAAGAAAACTGTCAATGTATCTAGTGAGCGAGAACAACATTGACTAGTGACCTAACATTAAAAAAATGCTAACAGGATGTTAAGCAAACAAAGATGAAACAAGATGGGAAGTAAATCAAACGGAAGTCAGTCGCAGGCGTCTGACCAAAATAGCAGAACTCAATGATTCAGACTTAGCTAAATGCAAATTTCATTTCTTTAAATAGCAAATAATGTAAAATCTCTATGAAGTGTAAAGAACACATTAATCATCTCTTATAACCTTATGTAAAGGAAGGTTTTTTTTTATTTTATCCCTCCTCCCACCCTTTTTGCTTCTTTGGTGACTCGAACTCGCAACCTTTGGGTTGGAAGTGAGGGGTGCTTACCATCCGAGCAACTCCCTCTCGTCTATGTAAAGGAAGCTAAATCCTTCAACCGCAGATAAATTCCAACACCCATTGTCAAAACTATCTTAATAGTGAATTAAACCTACCTATGCTGATCGCCTCAATATCATCAACCAAAAAATTTAAATGATACTATCTTCATGGGACAATTTTTGTGGTACAATTGAAATTTCGAGATTCAACCAACAGAATTTTTTGATATGTCTTTTAAATATTTTAAGTCGTTAATTATTGTGATTTTTTACATAATTTTCAAATATATAAATTTTATTTCATAAAACTTAAACCTTCTATGTCCCAATTCACCAAAAAGTTTAGAAGTATGCCACATAATTGGGACAAAGAGGTACCAATTGATTAGCTAATCTGATCTCAGTACATACTTTACAACACAACAGAAACCCTTAAACCTATAAAAATCTCACCCTACAACTCCTGAATCACGACTTCAAAATGTATATAAGTTCAAATTTAACTTAAGATAACAACATATGAATATCATAATAGATGATCAATTCCACAAAAAAAAAAAAAACAATCAACTTTAATAACTCAATCAGCATAAACACAAGAAAATCAAATACAGAAAAACACTCCTGCATAATCTATAAAACAGTTAAAAAAAAGAAGAAGCTCCAACTCCATGAAAGAGAAAAAGAGATGTAAATTTACCTGAATGAAATAGCAGAAAGAAGAGAAACAAAAGAAGAGGGACTTATATATGATGATAATCCGTCGCGTGGCCGCTTATAACCAACTTTGGAACTGAAACTTGTTACTTTTACGGTAACAATTCATATGATTCGTTTTTTTAATATTCGAAAAATAATGACATATTTTATATTTAATTTTAAAATATTTATTTTACTCTTAATAAAATAATTTATGTTGTACAAATATTTCTTATTCATTTTAAATATCAATTTTTCTTTTTTTAAATTACGTCGTGGGCTACGTGGCGCGTTTTGAGTGGTTGTTGGAATAACATCCAGCTTCGGATCCGAGTCAAAAACAGCTTGCTTCCCCCACTTTTTTTATGTTTGGAAAACGTTGGCGGCATGCCAACTCAACAGTGCATTACTTCTTCACGGAAAGATTACAGTTGTATTTACTTTTATACCCCTCGGCTCGATAATCGAGGAAACCTCTTTTGGATTACCTGGAATTAATAATAGTTTATTCATGTTTGAAATTGTGGCATATTCCAATCCCCAAAAGCATAACCTTTTCTAATATACAGTTGTACACCTACCCAAAAAAAGAATAACCTTTTATTTGGATTTTCCTATTTTGCATTTGAGGAATTAGGATTAATTTCTCACTCAGAAAATATTTTTTTTCAAATTTTTGTGTGTGAAAATAAAAATTTCAATAAAAAAGAAATGAAATTTTTATTAGAATTCTAAATGGTTTTAAAAAGTCAATTATTCCATTTTAAAAAATAAAAAAATTAAGTTAATCTGCTTCTCTTTTTAGATTTTACTAAGGGTGGCAGTTACCCAAGTTAAGTCAAATTTAAGCGGGTCAAAATAACAAATGGATCTTGATCTAATTCAATTCAAGTTTGTTTGGGTCAAAACGGATCAAGTAATGGATCATAACTCAACCAGTTCAATTTTTACTGAATTTTAATTGTTTTATTTGTTCTTTTAAAAAAAAGTTAGTACTCTATAAAATTATTATTTTTCTTTATTATAGTTATGTATGATATATCAAATTACAGGAAAAAAAGTCTTCTTAAATTATTTTAACAAGGTTTTTCATTAGTAAATTTGAACTACATAATAATTAAATTTTTAATGGGCTGAAATGAATTGGACTAAATGGATTGAACTAATAGATTAAAGAATTTTTTTAGAAATAACTACCAAGTGGCCGTTATTATGTCTCCTTAGTTACAGTTTCTCAATTTACAATCCGTAGCTACAATTTGAGTTTGCTACATAATGTGTTAATTGTATTTTTAGGTTAATATGCCTAACAAATAATTTGTGTGACCAAATGATGCGACGTGATCTTTTCAAATATTGTAATTGGGCTTAAATCACTCTCTAAGATATCTAAATCTTTGAGTGATCTTTTTAAATATGGCAATTGACCTAAAATTACTTTCTAAAATATCATAATCTTCTAATAATCTTTTCAAATATCGTAAATGAGCAAAAATCACTCCCTAAAAACATCAAAATCTTCTAGATACATAGTTTATTTTGAAAATTCAAAAACTAAAAATTGAAGATGACATTTTGTATAGAGAATTTGATAAATCGAACAGAATTCCTCTGGTGTTCTTCATCCACACATGATTTTGTTGGTATTCCATGAAACACATTTTTTTTATTTGAGCTATGCAGATCCACTACAAGAAAAATGTGAATTACATGGGGATTTTCCTGTGGATTAGTATGGAAATTTGCAGGAAAATAAGTTTCCTACGGATTTTCATATTAATCCCCAGGAAAATCCTCATGTAATTCACACTTTTCTTATAGTGAGATATACTCTTAAATTTCTCGAGTTTGTGTTTGAATTTTATATAAATGGATTTGATAAATTAGTATTAATTTGTTAATAATGTTCATGGTAAGTGTTAATTTTCAATCTTTGCGTTAACATTAGTTATTGTATTTTCAAAGATACAAGTACAAATCCTGACTTTCAATGATACATATCTTTGTTAGTGATACAAATATAAATGTTGACTTTCAAAAATACAAATACAATTACACCTAGAATAAGGTGAATACAAACGCACATAGTATCAGATGAATACAAATACAACATTGGAATGGTTAAAATAATAACTTTTCAAAATACAAATGATAACTTTTTAAAGATACAAATATAAATATTATTTTTCAATTATACATATCTTATAAGTGATAAAACACAAATATTGACTTTCAAATTACAAGTACAATCACACTTAAAAAAATGAATACAAACACACAAAAATTCAGATGTATTTGTATATTTATGTTTTTACCCTAAATATTTTTGAAAAATATTTTTCATAAGCAATTGTGCTTGACGAATTTTTTCTAAAAGTGGTTTTGAGAGTCAAATTACGAAAAATGACAAGTATTAATGTACTTTTAATATTAAGATTATTATATAGAGATATTATTTTAAACATCAATTATAAAATTTAAATTTTTTATTTTAATTAAATTAAAATGTACATTTTCAAATTTTCAATCAATATTATTTTTTTGGGGGGAGGGCTGAAATCTTTAATTGTTAGTTTTTTCTTTTTTCTAGTCTTGCAAAAATATTGTTGTTACTTTTTTTTCCTAATTATGCAAAATAATATGTAAAATAATATATAAAATATAAATTACAAAATAATAATATGTAAAAGTAAAATAAAATATAATATTAATTATATAAAAATAAAAAATGAAGTTCTTATATAAAACTTAACCAAACCTATGAGATATGTTAATTAATTAATAAGGAATATATTGGTAAATATGTATATATGGAAGGAATATTTTAGTTTTGAAAAAAAATAATTTTCTGCTTCTGCTTTTTTTTTAGAAGTAGAAATTTAGCTTCTTTCCAACAACAAAAAAACTGCTTTTGCTTTCATTTAAAAACAGTTTTACAAGTTTGTCAAGCACTTCATTTTTTCAAAATAAATTTTTTTTTTTTTAAAACAAGTGTTTTTGGCCTCCCAATAACAATGCCAAACATGCTCTAAATCTCAAATCCACAAATAAAATAATCATAATAATACTTATTAAGTACAAATTATATAAAACTTTCGATTGCTTATAATGTCCATTACAGTGTTTTTAAAGGCGGGGGCGTGAGGCGAGGCATTTTACTTAGTATAGGGCGAGGCGTAAGCCCTATGAATCTTTAAATTTTTAATTTATATTATAGTATAATAATATAATAACACAAAATTATTAAAATAAATCAATAGTTTGAAATAATTACAAATATGATTAAATAAACTAATAGAAAATAAAAGTTCTAACATGATTATACAAGTATAAATAATCTAATATCTTAACTTTCTAATAATAAAAGAATCATTATTTCTCAAAAATATTTTTTTATTCATACTATACGATTTACCCCCCTAAAACGAAAATAATTAATAGCCTTACTAGTATTATAATAAAACATCACTCCATCATGAATAAAAAGAAAATTACTTTCAAATAGCTAAATAAAATATAATAGTTTTGATACATATGACAAAACCATGAAGACCAATGATAAGTGAAAAAGTAAAATTCCTCGACGTATTTATAAAAGAAATGTTACGTAATATTTAATTACTTTCACAGTGTTACTAAATAGGAAAGATGCGATACTAAAACTTGTTATTTGAGTTATTCTCAATCTTCTTTATCTCTATAGATTAAAAATAATTATGTATCATTCAATTATTCAAGAATTATGAGGGTCAACAATGTTAACTAAAGATTTTAACATATAATGTGTAAGATCTGTTAGGTGAGCCTTGAACGTTGGGCGTTGGGCGTGCTTAGGGCGTAAGTCTTACAGAACTAAGCCCCACACTTGAGTCTCGATGCGTTTTTCTAAAGTCCGGCCCTAGAGCGATCCCCGAGGCGAATCCAACAGAGTTTTTTAAAACACTCCATTATATAGGGAATTTTTGTGTTGGTGGTTGCATATGGTGTCTTCTTATTGACTTTGATGAGCTTAGTACAAGTTTTGATGGATTTTTATTCAAATTTGGCATCATGTTTTTGGTGGTTTTTAATTCAAATTTATCATCAAGTAAAGATTTGATTATATCACTTCAATTTAAATCTCTATCATTATATGAAAATATTTCGGATACAACTGTATAAGAAAATAATTTTTTTTTAAAAATTATCTGGTGTTCGATACCCACATTAAGACCTAACTAAATTTAAATTCATGTTGAAAAATTTCACATCGGGGGTAAAGACTTTCTAACAAAGACGACTTCATATAAGGAGATTTGAGTCGGAACCTCTTATTAAGAACGAAGAAGTATTTATTATTCCACCACAATCCTTGTTGATTACAAGAAAAGTACTATTTTATTGTACATGAGGTTTATTGTAAATCTTTTATATGCATTCTGACTTGAAGTAGTAATAGCAGGGTTCATTACATGACATCCACAAAATACATTATTTACAACATTTTTTCATTGTCAACAATTATTCAAATCAAATAGAAATATTCTTCAGAAAACTAAACAGTTAATAAGTAACAATATAACTAGTTTTAACTAGGATCATAAACATAATTTTATTCCAATCTCACAATAAAACATAAAAGATGATATTATTCTATCCATTATAAGTTAACTTTAAGTTTGGACTCTTATTATTCTTAGAACTTTATTTTATTTTTATGTTTTCTATATAAAAAAAATACGTTGACCATAGGGCGTATTCAGCCCAGTTCTACTTAAGCCTCATAGGTCAGCGGACTTACTCTGATCGAGCTAAAAAGCCTCATCTAAGGACCCATTTGGCCATAGATATCCCAAGTAAAATTTGAGAAAAATTGGCATTGTCCATACAATTTGTCATTATTAAAATCTCGAATACTAGAAAAACTAGTATGTGGGCCAAATCTCATTATTTGGGAGCTTTTAAAAATTCAAATTCTACACCAAACTTTTATCTTTTACAAAAACACTATCTATAGTTGTTGTTTGCACTGTATTACATAATTTTTTACATGAACTCCAAAACAGTGATGGAATATTCAGTGAATATGAAAGTGATGATATGGTTACTGATGAAAATGATGAACAATCGACTCAGG